ATTATATATATCTAGGTATTATGAAATGTTATACTTGCAAATATGGCTAATTGCAACCACTATAATCAAAATAATTGAGAACGAATTATTCAAACATAATGTTTTAGCTTCAAATCTACAATAAAAAAAATGATCATTATAAATTATAGTTATAAAAAATTCGAATTATTTTCAAAGAGTATGATGCAAAATGATGACATTACAAAACTATATTTGATGATAATATTAATGATAATTATTTTAAGCAAAAGTAGGGATGAAATGTTGACGAAGATATAAAAATAATGTTAAGATAAAAAAAAAAATATGAAAGAATCATCATTACATAATTCATTTAAACTGGAATTAGTAATTATTCACATTTAGGATAGTCTTGAAAAAATTTGTGAATGAAGATAATGGATGTATGACAATGTTAGGAAATGCAACAATAATTTATGTCGGAAAATATAATACGTGTACTCATTAGAAAATAGTTACAATTAAAATTAATTAAATAAAAATAAATAGTGAATTTATTTTAAATATGAATCATTCATTAAAACTAGACTCATTAAATTTTCACATTTAAGATAGTCTTGAAAATCTGGGAACGAAGATAATGCATGTATGACAATTTTAGGAGATGCAACAATAATTTATGTTAGACAAGATATGTAGATAGATGAATATCTTTAATCAATAAAGATGTTATTATTCTTAAACTTTTTCATGTATTTTTTTTTTTTAAAATAATTATGACTTTAAAGACATTTTCAAATATTTATGTGTCTCTTATGTCATTATGACTAGAGAAAAATTATATATATCTAGGTATTATGAAATGTTATACTTGCAAATATGGCTAATTGCAACCACTATAATCAAAATAATTGAGAACGAATTATTCAAGCATAATGTTTTAGCTTCCAATCTACAATAAAAAAAAAATGATCATTATAAATTATAGTTATAGCAAATTCGAATTACTTTTCAAAGAGTATGATGCAAAATGATGACATTAGAAAACTATATTTGATGAAAATATTAATGATAATTATTTTAAGCAAAAGTAGGGATGAAATGTTGACGAAGATATAAAAATAATGTTAAGATAAAAAAAATATGAAATAATCATCATTACATAATTCATTTAAACTGGAAATAGTAATTATTCGGATTTAGGATAGTCTTGAAAAAATTCGTGAATGAAGATAATGGATGTATGACAATGTTAGGAGATGCAATAATAATTTATGTCGAAAAAGATATATAGATAGATGGGTAGCTTTAATCAATAAAGATGTTATTATTCTTATGATTTCCAAGTAAATTCTCTTTTTGAAATAATTAGTTAATTACGATTTGAATTAAAGACATTTTCAAATATTTATGTATCTCTTATTCAATATGACTAGGGAATAACTATAAATATCTAAGTATTATGAAATATTATACTTGCAAATATAATTACACTTGCAACCACAGTAATCAAAAATAATTGAGAACGAATTATTTAGACATAGTTTGTTAGCTTCCAATAGACAACAAATAAAAATTAATCATTATAAATTATAGTTATAGCAAATTTTTGAGTTATTTTTCAAAGAGTATGATGTAAAAGGATGACATTAGAAAGCTATATTATGAAGACAATAATAGTGATCATTATTTTAAGCACAATGAAGATATCATTAAATAACAAAATCAAAGACTATAAATTTTTTTAGCATTTACATTTTCACTAAAAAAATATCAATTTTATTTTTTGGTTTTCAACCCAATTTTTTTTTTTTTTTTTTTTTTTTTATTTTATTCATCATAGAGTTCAAATAATAGTATTAAATACTATATTTCATTATTCAATAAAATACACTATTTTTTGTTAAACTAAATTAAAGAAAATTATATTATACTTTTAAATATAAACATAATACTAAAAATAATTTAAAAAAAAAATACCACGTGCGTAGCACGTGCATCTTCCTAGTTCTTTTAAGTACGATTTGTATTATAAGTAACTCGATGAAGTTGATTTTAGTAGTGCAATAGAACAAACAATAAAGAAGCAGAAGCACGTACTTGAGGTCTACAAGCTGTCTTAAACGACAGATCGAAGTCAGTTAACACAACATGTCCATCCTTTTGAAGAAGAATATTTTCTGGTTTCAAGTCCCGATAAATTATTCCTGTTATAGAGAACAAAAGATGAGCATATGAGTGCACTATACTTTAAACACTAAAAAAGAACATGTTCCATGATATTCACTTCAACTAACAAGCTTTGTAAAAACCCCTGTACAAAAGAACAACTTACAAATGAGTCGTTAAACACCGGTCGAATTAGGATAGACCGATAAAGTTGAACTTGAAATCAACAGGGGTCTTAATTTGTATATTTAATTTGTGATTAGACTAAAATTAACAGGTTAGCTTCTTTAATTGCCCCATATATTATAATGCCATAGACTACAAGAATTATTACCTAAACAATGAAGATACTCAAGGCCAATGACAACTTCTGCTGCATAAAATCTGCAAGTTAATGATGAAACATTTATTTGAAGGTCATATAAAACTTAACACGTCAATTAATCTAACTTTTAGTCCACCAACTCTTCAGGAAGAATAAAAGTGACTACAAGTTTAACCAAATACCTGGCTGAGTCCTCTCTAAACATTTTCAAGGGCTGTTTGTCGAGCAACGCAAATAGCTCTCCGCCAGGACAGAAGTCAGTTATCAAGCAAACATGTGTAGGTGTCTGGACATGGATAAATGCCACATCAGAAAATGGAAGTTATCGGGACAAGCTATAAGGGGGGTGATATAATTGAGCTATTAGTAATCCCTTTTAGCTAACTAAAAATTTTGAGAAATCACAACACAATCTTGATCACAAAAACATTAACTTTCAAAATTTCTTGAACAATAATTTCATGAGCACCATATTTCTCCTTAAAAATGTCAACAATAAGAAGCTGAACGAGTTTTAGAAAACGAGAACCTGAAAAGAGGCGTACAGTGAGGGGAGAAATGGATGATCCAGGAGAGAGATGATTTCTCTTTCAATACATGCTCGATGAACCTGCACAAATCCTCAGTTACTCAATCAACGATGGTTTTAAGACAACATATCTAGCGAAAACCAATATTAAAGTTAGGTTGACAACAAATCTTGAATGTATTTGCAGAACTTATATATGAACAGAAGTAAAGAAACGCGTATTTGAATTAAAAGATGCTTGAAAATAAAAATTAAGAAAATGCGTTATTACGGAGATACAGGACCTTCTAAGAAAAATACACTTCAAAAAGATTTATAAGTCAAAGGAAATAGAAAGAAATATTAAAGGATATACCTTGTTACGATTCAGCATCATGGATTTATCCATTGCCTTCATGGCAAACAGATGGCCACCACCAGTTAGTTCAACCAAATGGACACTGCACAAAAACACATCCATCCTTATAGTTGAATTATCATTTTGAAGAAGACGAATGAATCTCGTTAGTTGTATGCGACTCAGATTACTAAAAATCAAAAGATGAAGGGCATCAATGATTTTCGAAAATCTTCCACTCATTTCTAGATAATTTTCTCATTCCTGGTCAGTGATTCAACGAAGAATACCTGCCAGTATCTCCACATCCCAAGGGACGAATAGGCTTGAAGTGATTCAATCCAATCTTCTCACCTGTTTCAGTGATCTACAAAGGATGAACAGAAAGAACTATAAGTATAAAACACGTGCTGTAACATGGAAATAAAAACTATTAAATTGGAACATGACCCTTTTTTCTGAAAGGAACTGGATTCTGTGCTGTTCAAATTGAATTCAGGAACTGTGCTTTTAAAAATATGTCTGGCTACATCTTAAAATGAGGAAAAAAAAGTTAAAGAATCAGCAAAAGTTATACTTTTCTTATTGCTGCCCATGCAGTGCCATCCCTCTTGTGAGGTCTAGGGAATACAGGTTGAGAATGTAAAGCCCACAAGTCTTCAGGTCTCTGAAAATGAGAACGAACGTGAATCAGAAAGATGCTCATATTCTTCAAGAATATCTCCACAACAGTGTAAGAGGATCGTCACATGAAATTTTTTTGGTACTTATACCTTGTTTTTCAGTTCAAGCCAAAAACGACTTCACAAGTGCTCACTGAAGAGAGAAGTGTTTTGCAAACTATACGTATAAGAACGATTCAACCTTCTACTCAGACAAATACGGGAACCACTCTTTTTATTAGAGTTCTAGAATACTCTTTCATCACTATGAAAATAGTTAAGTAGATACATAAGAAATCAAGAAAAGAGAGAAAGGAATACCTTACCAAGTTGGCATCAGGAAGTTCTCGAACAGCCTCATCAACATTTTCTGCTGTAGCTTTGACCTGGAGAATATACATTTTCACTTATGACAGTTTTGAACTTCATTTTTGTGCATAGAAATATGGCAAGAAAAGAAAAGAAATGAAGCACTAGTTTACTAATGGGCTGAGTCCTAATATGGAAGATAACATATGAGGTTGCACTTGATACTATAAATGGTTTCTCCTGAGAAGTAACTTCAAAGTCACAGAAACAAAGATGAAAAAGATTTTTTTTTTTCCAAAAAAAAAGGAAAGAAGAACAACTTACCAATTTTGCGCTCTGTTGCTCAGTTCTCTCCGAGAGTCTGTTCCTAAGTGGTTCGATATGATCACTTCCATCTAGTTGGACACCAATGAAGTATTGGAGTTCACCCTATAGATGCCAATGAATTTAAAAAATAAATAACTAAAAAATACCACATTATAAATAAAATAAAATTGCTTAAGCATACATCATAAGAAGATTTAACATTTAATGTGCACCTTTTGATCACGCATAGGTTGCAAGTGAAACAAATTCCAAAATTTCTTCCCTGCAATTTGTCAATTCAATGAACAGATGAGTTCAACTTTAGTTATTGAACAAAAAAGTATTAGAAATCTTGCTGTGACTTGTACTTTGAGGATATCGAAATCCATGACATACCACTCTTTGTATAATTAATCAATTGAACTGTAATTTCCGTTTGCTCCCTGATGGCATCCCTTACTTTTGACACAGTCGATTGATCGGTTTCTGGCCCCTGAAGAAACCTGAAAAATGTCTCAACTGATTAATAGGATTAATCTCAGCAAAGAACCAGTTCAACATGAAAAAAGGGATTCCATTAATCAGTAAACAATATTGCCGAATATATAAGCCCGGATTTGAACACAAGTTTAAATGGAGCCACATTATCAAACATAAAAAAATTGCAGATAATATCCAAACCTGCAATTTCTTCCCAAAATTTCTTCGCGTGTATATTCCGTTAGTTCGAGAAAGCTATCTGATGCAAATATCTGAAAATTAAGAATGGCATTATTATGGTTCATATGACTCACTAGGTAAAATGTTAGGATTTTGAGTGATTTTTATGACAGAATGTACACTGTTAATAATGCATGAGTGTTCTTACAATCGGGTTATCAGGAAGTCTAGGATCTGTTATCACAAAATTCTTCTCAATGCGTTCTAAAGTTGTTGCCAAGTCAAAGCCTTGGCGTATATCTCGTTCTCTTTCAGCTCGCTCCCAACTATCTGTACGTTGTACTTCATTCGTCATCAATATCTCTGGCTCAATAGCTTGTTGACTTCCATTGAAACCGGCACCACTTGACGACGTTTTTTTGAACCTGCAGGGGAACATCATACGGTTTTACTGAAAAATATTATAACCAAATATCACCATCCTACAAATAGATGCACGACTGCCATTTTGTCATTCTACAGATAGTATGAAGAATTTACCACAATGGAAATTTGATCAACGTATGAAAGCACTACTAAAATCTGGACGAATTACAAATGGCAAGTAAAACTTTATCAAGCCTAAAAACTAATTCAAAGTTAGAAGGAGTTCCTCAAGAAGCTAGAAAGAGCAAATGTTGAAAGAGAAACATGAATTTAAATGAAAGAATGTTGGAATTGGAAGAGAAAACAATCAGAAAAGGGTGAAAAAAAAATAAACAAACGCAGGTTTACCCCATTAATGACACGGATCCGGCGGACTTTCTGCTTTTGTTGCTCGTGTCTTGACGAGAAACCGAACGAGCTAAGATACTTCTTGGGTCCAACTCAGAGGCTCGTCTCACGGGCATGTAATCCAAGTTCATCTTCTCGTATTCAGTTTTTGACTTGATATCATGACTATGAGACCTAATGTGAGACTTCGGATCCTTGAGGGTTTGTACAACCTCTATGATCGAACCTAAAGCCTTTTCCTTTTGACGAGCTGAAGCAAAATGAAATAATTTATGATTTTTCTAAATGAAATTCTGTAATTTTTCAAAAACAAGATACAGATGCCAACTTTACCATCATAACGAATTAATGACTTGGGCAATCCATTTGGTCTTAGTGCTTTATCATTCACTCCTTCTGTGTACTTGCTGACTTCGACCTGCATTCTGCCAAGAAAAACACGGCATGTGCCAGACTGAGAGTAAGGATTTTTCAGCCACGTAAATTTTTGGCAGAAATGAAGGACCACAAAATATGTGCACTCTGACAAAACCACGGCCAAATACAAAATAATGCATCTTGGCAATTTACAATGTAATTTGATTCAGCTCAACACGAACATGAAAAACTCAGAGGATGACAGGACATAGCAATAACCGATTTTCAACTTTGTGATCTTTAGCTCACCTAGCTACATAACACAAGATAAATTTGGAGAGCTCGAACAAGATTCTCGAAAAAAGCACAACTAAAGTGGGGAGAGAGAGAGAGAGAGAGAGAGAGACTGAATGGCTCTAGTTATGACTTCAAGTTCCTACGACTTCCCATTTCATATACATTATCCAAAATCTAGTTACCTCTAAGTGCAGTACATATAAGAAACCATTCTCATCATCTCTCTGAAATATCGACTAGTGAAAATAAAACCCAAAGCGAAACAAAATGGTAAACTTATTATACCCAATAAATTTAATGGTTCTGCCTTTATCGTCTTTGATGGGGGTAACGGTGAGCAGATTCCAGAAAGGCGTGCCGTCCTTCTTATAATTCAGTAGCCTCCCACAATAGCTTGTGCCAGTCCTCGTCGCTTTTCTTATTTTGTCCACCTCGTTCTCATCCGTATTCGGCCCCTGCAAGAAACGGCTGAACACCAAAAACCGAAACAAAATATATCCATTCAGTTCAGACAAACACACGCATATACCTTTAGAAACAGGCAAAACTTACCGAATAAAGCAATAAAAGACAGAACAAGTTTTTTTTTTTATTTATTTTTTCGCTCACCAGTTCTTCCCAATAACCTCCTTGGACGAGTAACCCGTCATCGTGAAGAAGCCGCTGCTCGCATACACAATCGGGCAATCGGGCTTTGTTGCATCCGAGACAACGAATGTCTGTTGGAGTGTGGCCAGTGCATCCTTAATCTCCTGGGACACTCTCGGCAAGTCCGGCCGGCTGCTGCTCGACTCCTCGGATATCCTCATGGACCCCTCGCCGGAGAATCTCTCGAACGACGAGTTCTTTTCGGTTATGGCATGGAAGCTCCCGCTTTCGACATCTGTACGGACCATGAGACCCCACTCGGCAGTCCTCTCGACTATGCTTGCCTCGGATGAAACCCCTTTTTGGTCTTCTATCTTTGATTTCTCTTTGTCAGAATCAGACACAAAGGCCATCCATTTGTTTCCAGCAGACTCCATTTTCTATGTTTATAACCAAATAAGCATCAAAGCAGAATCACTCTTCAACTTTCTGTCCAATATTACAGTAACCCATCAAAAATCTGATAGTATTTTCTGTACAGATTCAAACAAAATCAAAGAAAAGGGCAAAAACCCAAACTGATTCTGCGCCTCAATTTAAGCGAAATGAAGAAAAATTAGCAGCACCAAAAACAAGAAGTACAGCAGAAGTATCGTAGACTGGGCTAAGAACCCATAATTTTTTTCTTAAAAAAAATGGGGAAAAATAGGAAGAAAAAAGAACCTGGAGATGTAGGGGCAGATGGAGAAGATAAGAGGAAAAATGGCGTACACAGAATATTAAGTAGGATTGGCAGTAGAGTTATAAAATCCAAAAGAAAAATACGTGGTCATCGTCATTCGTCTGCAACACATATAAGTGTGTGTGTGTGTGTGTGTGTGTGTGTGTGTGTGTGTGTGTGTGTGTTGTGTTGTGTTCGTACTGTGGTCACAAATATTATGGGAAAAGAATAGAGTTTTGGCGCTCGCCATTAACATCAACTGCCAAGAAAACACTGGCGAGGACGAAACCATCCCTCTGAAACCCAAAAAAGAATAATAAAATAATATAATATAAAATGTAAAAAGTAGCTATTGGTATATTTTGTAGGGAATTGGTACCGTCACAGAACCATTTCGTCGGAGTTTGTAATCGTTAGATCAACTATAGTTGATCTACGGTTATAGACCCGACGGAATATGTTTTTACAGTTTATATAATATAATGATAAATATTTTATTAACATTCATGCAGAATGAGATTACAATTACAATAAATCAATATTTTTACTTAATAATATTCGATGAGTTATTAAATAACTTATTTATTATTATGTTCATAAAATTAATGTACAATTATAGTTTAGGAAAACAATTGTTTTATATATTTTGTGTAGTTACTAGTTGTTTACGTTCATTTTATATTACACCGGTAATATAAAAAAGCAATAATGCTAAGGCAGTTTTGCTATGGAGCCATCGGATGGCTCGGCTTATGGAGTCATCCACAATTATTCACAAATAGTGTATTGACACGTGTCCTACAATAAATGCACTTTGGACAAGTGTCAATACACTAAGTCATGGATGGCTCCATAAGAAAACTATCCGATGGCTCCATAGAATTTTTGAATGCTAAGGAGCCAACAAAAAAGTATGATTGGCCACATACATTGTATAGAGTTATCCATAATTTTGATACGTGTCCGTAGTGTATTTACTGCAGGACATATGTCAATCCACCATTTGTGTATAATTATGGATGACTCATTAGCGAGACATCTGATGACTCCATAGCAAAATTGTATTTCACCAATATTCACAACGGGAATTTATAAACCCAAATTACATACCATAGATTTTTGCATGAGTCGCGGTTCGTCATATTTTATTCAATAAAAAATATACATTTATATTATGAAATGTCGTTTTTTTTTTTTTACTTATATATATAGCTTGATTTTGTTTAATAAACCTTTACTAACTTGATTAAATTTATTTCATTTTCGTTAGGGGCATTTCCGTAAAATATGAAACAATTTTCAGCCAATTTATTGACTGAATTGACAGTTATGAGCAAGTGAACGCCTACCATAAAAAAAAAAAAAAACATTGAAACATTTTTCTTTTGCCTTTGGCCAACTTTACACACGGTGTTGATGGTGACAATGGAGATATATTGAAGAGATATGGACATGAATAAATAATTAAATATATTTCAATAATCTTATGTATGAAATAAAATTTATATGCTTAATTATGAGGCTCTAAAATGAGGATGTATTGTTGATAGATATTAAGGATGATGTTTTCGTCGTTCCTTCATCACATTATTACTTCTTTGACGTGACATGTTATCTATATCAAATTTGTTTGAAATAATAATCTCACAAATTGTGTAAACAAGTATTTTGAGAAGCAAGATTATGGTTTTATATTGTGTGTTTTATTTTTTTTTTTTTTTTTTTTTTTTTTTTTTTTATCGATTAAAGTTATTTAAGATATGTTAAAATCGATTGAGTTAGAGATCGAGTTTGTGAGGGATACGAGTTAAAATGTGATGATTAAAGTTGTGCAATCCTCCTGTTATTGCTAGAGCTAGTGGAGTAATTTATAGGTCTTCGAAAAAAAAAAAGTATCATGGTATAGAGATTAACGTGTGAAAAAACTAAAATAAAATATATATGCCTTGTAACACTCTAGATGTAGGTTTACGTATGTTTAAAGTGTGAAAAAAAATAAAATATATAGTTCACCTTGATCGGCTCGTTAAGACTCGAAAATAAAAAATCAAACAAAATTTTTTGAACTCTTAGCATAACTCAACTCATTAGAGAATAAAAAGTTACACACAATCTCTTGATTTCTAGCTTAACTTTGCTCGTTGACTCATTAGAGAATAAAAAGTTACAGTCTCTTGATCTCTTAGCTTAACTCAGCTCATTGACATTCTGATCCGGCCCGTTAATATCGAGCTCTAAATAATTTGTCGACTTGTTTGTAAGTCAATTGACATTCTAATCCGGCCCATTAATATTAAGCTCCAGATCAACGACCTTGGCTCAATAAAAGCTTGATCCAAGCTCAGTTGATATCGAGCTCGAAATCATTTGTCCACTTTGTCCACTCGAGATCCTTAAGTCAACGGCCTAGGCTCGATAAAAGCTTGATCCGAGCTCAATTATCACGAGATTGTCCATGCCCAAGATGCATATGGCATAAAGCATGTTTAGCTTTGTTTTATGTTAAGATACCCTAACAAATCCTTCTGAATTTGCAGCTAGTAGTTGTTGAATTTGAAGTAAACTTAGGCACCTTGGACAGGAATAGAAGGCACCTAGAAGGCACCAATATGACCCACAGTTGCACAGAGAAGGGCACTTTTGTGACCTGAGTTTGTATAATCTCACATTTTCCCTTTCTGAAGAAAAATAAAACCATCATAACCACAACAAAAATGCTAAGGTGTTTGCAATTCTCATCAGCTCGACTCCACTAACAAATGCGTAGCAAGTCGAAAAACCATAGTAGAGACTTGAGAGAGAAGCATATATTTTTCACTTTTAAAACATTGAAGACTACAGCACATAATTGCATAGACACAACATAGTAGAGAAAGAAGCGCACCGTCTTTCACTTTTAAAACATCGAAACCACTGCACATAATTGCATAGACACAATCGAAAGGCATCAAGCACTATAACCACCGTTTGAAGGATCCCATTTAATCGAGTCTCGCCCATTGCACGCAGCCATACAAGCTTCCTCCATTCTATCCAACGAAACCCCAGCATTGCAAATGTTAGCAAAGGCCCGCATGTGTTTCATACCGTATTGAGTCAACGAACCACAATGCGCCTCAAACAGCCGAACCTGGCCAAAAAAACCACCAAATACTCGAAAAATTGCAAGAAAGAATATTTTTTGCAGTCACAAGTTATGTAAATCTTACCATTGATTTCAAACAATCCCAATCATCTGCAAGTGGCAAACCAGGGCCTCTCGTGGATTTGAGAACAGACGGGCCTCTTTCCGAACCGAATAAAACGAGGCCAATTATGTCCATGCTGCCATCGAGATGTTCTCTGTGCAGAATCATATCTATTATCTGCTTGAGAAGTTCTTCTTTATCTTGTCCACTGTGCTCTAGTTTCTTGTACTGCAACAACCATAGGCTTGATTTGAGCTCAATCTATAAACTCCAAACTAAAAAATTCCAAGGGGGAGAAAGGAAAAGAATAAATTACAGAATACACAGAAAAACGTTATCAGCTCTCTCACCCTTTCCCAGAGAAAGAGAAGGTCTGCGTCCCGTTGGTTGATGACATCCATTGGATATTTACTGTCGATCCTGTTCGGAGGAAGGTTCTCAGTTGCAGGATCAAAGCCTTGGTACAAATATAGCTTCTCGGATTTGATGCTCTTGTTCCCATATTCCATGACGTGAGATCCCGCATTGTACGTGTTGTAGTTGGAAGTGCGTTCCTTGACCTATATATGATATACTCCCAAATGGAAACTAATCAACAATGTGGATTTAATATTTATTCATTGCACGAGTATCAGATTTTTTTTTCCGCACCTGCTGATATTGCTGCTCGACGGTTTCCCTTCGGAGGTTATGGGACTCGCTGCAGACAAGAAAACACTGAGTTTAGACAGTGAAATGGGATAATGCGGAACATATACTTCAAGAAAAAATATGCCTAGCAATCGGTAAGGTACTCGGTAATTCCATATATACATTAAACCTCATGCCTAGACAATTACAGTTTGCAAAAAACAAATGGAAGGGATACACGATACTCAATAGCCTACAATTGAAAAAAA